TTCTTAGGAGACTTCATCCCCTCACCTGGCTTCAATGCTATCTTACACATGCCCTAATGTCAATCTGCTATTTGCCCACAGCCTCCTCTTCATGCAGACAGACATACAAACCCATCTGCTGACTTGGAACAGACAGACCACCTTTAAAAAATACACATATGAATATATATATATATGTATACATATACATATATATATATAATTTATTTTTATTTTATATGTGTTGGTGTTTTGCTTGCATGCATGTCTGGGTAGGAGAATCAGAAGCTCTGCAACTGGAGTTACAGACAGTTGTGAGCCGCCACATGCTCTGAAAGAGCAGCCAATGTGTTTAACCAATGAGTCATCTCTCCAGCCCCTTAAAGACACCTTTTTAAAACGTAAAAGCTGGCATGTTCCTTCCCCTGGCCTCATGTCACACTTGTTCCTTACACCTGATTCCCCTATTCCCCTCTGTACCAGAGCCCATCGCCCTCTCCACTACATCAGCCGGAGCTTCAGAGCACAGCAAGCCCCAAGATGTACAGTCTCTAGAACATACTATGCATTGTCAAAAAATAGCCTTGTGTGGTAGTACACATCTTTAATCTCAGCACTTAGGAAACAGAGACAGGTGGGTTTCTGTGAGTGTGAGCCACATACACAGCGAGTTCCGGCCAGCCAAGGCTGCGGAGTGAGACTTTGGGGGAAGGGGGGGATGATCCAGGAAGAAAAATAAAAAGAAGGTACAAAACCATATTATGACTATGTGCTGGCTCAGTACCTGAGGAAAGACTGCAATTACATGCATATTCATATATATACATACACACATACATACACCTATATATTCATATATATCACAAGCAGTTGTTTTAAAAAAACAATGAATCAAAATAATAAAGATGAATCATAGTAATAAAAATGGCTTCCTATGGGAGGAAGAGGGGACTGGTGTGGGCATAATGAGATTAAAGGAAACTTCTACCTTATACAGTTTGGAAATGCTATATATAAATGTTTCATAAGATTTCAAAAACAAATTAAACTAAAAAGAAAAATTCCTAGAAATTAAAACTACGTTGTAGCAAACATGCCTGATGTCCTCCAGAGTAGAGCAACACACAGAGCAGGCTGGGAACACTGTGTTCCGCTGCACATCTTCCTGCAAAAACAAAACAAATTCCCACCTGAGTCCCCAGTTAGTAGTGAGAACCAGACACGTAGGTGTGAGGAATAAACTATCATAAAACACAGCAGCCATCTTTCCAGAAGCTGCGGGCAGCACTGGTCCCTGCCGGCACTGGGCACTGAGACCTCTAATAGCTCTCCCCTCTATCCCATGGCTCACAAGACTGCATTCTGTCTAGCCAGACAAGCAATTAGGCTTATGCTGGACACCTGCTTTTCTGGAAGTCTGGAATTTGAGTATAGAGCAGGTAGCCAGTGCTTCTGAGACCAGTTATGTGACCCCAATAAAAATCCTTGTGGGCCGGGGCTATAGCTCATGGGTAGAATGCTTGCTTCTCAGTATGTGATGCCCTAAATTCAATGCCCAATACTGTCACAGAAAAAGAAAACTGTTAGCTTATGGCTGTGTTTATAGACTGGGGTTGCTGCTGATCTGGCAGTGCTTGCCTAGCATGCATGCGGTCCTAGGTTAGTTCTAAACACCCCATAAGCCAGGTGTGGTGGTGTATATCTGAAATCCCATTATTAGGGATACAGAGGCAGAAAAAGCAGGAATGTAAGGCCAACCTCTGCTACACGAGACTGTCTCACACAAAAACAAGCCCCCTCCCCCAACTGGACAGTCTCTATGGAGTGTCTAGCTGGACAGTGTTTCATGACCTATCAACTCCTTGCTACTGGAGTTGGACATATCTGTGTAGTCCTAGTGAGGGCATTTTTGGACTTAGGTCAGTTTTCTCCAGCTTTAGTCCATGCCTTTTCTATATCCTTTACTGTAGGAGCCACAGTTATGAAGCCTCCTAGTTAATCACTGAACCTAAGTTGGTCTTGGTGACCTCCGACATAGCAGGACAGAACAAAACAGTCATTTTGTTAATCTTTCTAGGAAATAAGACTGCCAGTATAATCCAAAGATATACATTCAATCTCAGGGATCCTCATGGTGGAAAGAAAAACCCAACTCCTGAAGGTTGTTCTCTGACCTCCATACACACTGGCACATGCACACACTCACATATACACACACAAAATAAATAAACATTTAAAAAAAATGTCTTAAGATACAATTGTAACCTCACAAGTAAAAACTCTAGAATCTTCAGTTTGAATTCTAAACACCAGTATGAACTGCAATTTTTTCCATAGAGATAGGGTCTCACCTTATAGTCCAAACTGGCCTACAATTTCCTAGAGTCTAGACTGCCCTCAAATTTATAGCTGTAATTACAGATGGGAGCTATTATGTCTGGTGCAACTTCTTTCTTAAGAAACTTAGTGTGTCTGAGCTGTGCTGGCACAATTTGTTATCACAGATCTTGGTGGGCTGAGATGGGAGAAGAGTGGGTTCAAGATCAGGTTGGGCTTAAAAGCAAGACCCTGTCTCAGGTAACAAAACAAAGATACAAAAACCAGGTCTGTGACATGGCTCACAGCGTAAAGGTTATCTGCTACCAAGACCGGCAAACTGAGCTCTGTCCTCAGAACCTACATGGTGGGAGAGCCAATTAAAGTTGTCCTTTGACCTCCACACAAGTTCACACCCACACACACTCCCAACAAACAAATAAATAAATATAATTTAGAAATTACAACAGGGGATGGAAAGATGGCTCAGTAACCAAGAGTACTTGTTACTACTGCAGAGAACCTGGGTTCAATTCCCAGGACAGTCCATTGTGAGCCACCAGGGGATCCAACAGGCACACACATATTCATTTACACATATGCAGGCAAAATATTCACACATATAAAAGCAAAAAATTTAAAAAAAATAAATCTAGTTAAAACATCAAACAGAGGGCTGGTGTCTTAATTAGGGTTTTTATTATTGTAAAGAGACACCATGACCACAGCAAGACTTATAGGAAAACATTTAATTGGGAGCGACTCATTTACAGTTTTGGAGGTTCAGTCCAGTATCATCACGGTGGGGAGCACGGCGGTGTGCAGGCAGACATGGAGGGTAGCTGAAAGTCCTACATCCTGCAGGCAACAGGAAGTCAACTGACTGCCACATTGTGGGAAGCTTGAGCAAAGGAGACCTCAAGGCCCACCCCAACAGTGACACACTTCCTCCAACCAGGCCCCACCTCCTGGCCATGTTCTTTCACACCACCACAGCTGGTGAGAAGGCTCAGTGGTTAAGAGTACCCAGTGTTCTTCCAAGAGGCCCTGGGTTCCATTCCCAGCATGCACATCAGGCAGCTCACTGAACAGCAGCTGGCAATGCAGGAGGAATAATGAATCTCAGCAGTGACCAGCAGTGAATGCTGTAGCCATTTAGGACAAAGATTTGGGCTCAGTTAAGACCATCTGAACTTATGGGGATTTCTAAATGCACAGGAGATCCAGACACCATGATTCTGCTGACACCAACCACAACTGTATATAAAGACAGCAAGTCCAAAGCACTAGGCATGCCGGGTACACCAAATACAGAGCACCAGGCATGCTGGGTAGGCTGGGTACACCAAATACAGAGCACCAGGCATGCCGGGTCACCAAATAACTGAATGAATGGCCTAAGTACCTATACAGAACTTCTTGTGAGAACTGTGGTCACACAGAGCAGCAATCAGCCAAATCTGGATGTGTGGATCACAGATGATAAAAAGTTGCCTTCTCCCACAAATCAATGTCAGAAGAAAATGGGGGTGAGGCGTTGAACAAGTGTGGGTGGAAGAAGGACATTGCAGAATAAAGACACTCATAGAGTCAGAGTCAAACCCAAAGCCAATTGATCATGCCAGCATCTGCCTTCAAAGGCTCTGGGCCCTGCCCACATTCTGGCTGCACCTCTCACCAGGCCCCTCTGTTCCATCCACAGTCATCTCCTGGGTTCCCAGGACTAGCCCAGAGCTTTAGTGCGCAGGTTCCTTGCAGACACTCCCCCTGCCCTGGAATGCTACCCTCCCACCTGGTAGAGGCCTGCTCATTCTGTCTCAGCATCAGAGAAAGCCCAGCCCTAGCCCAGGGTATGATTTGGTCCCTCCTCCTAGTTATTCACTCATATTGTACCTTGTGCTTCTCTTGGAAGCAAAAACAAAAAAAATTTTTTTTCCCTATGACAGGGTATTTTTGTATAGCCTTGGCTGTCCTGGAACTCCATCTATAGGCTGGCTTCAAACTCATGGAAATCTGCCTGTTTTTGCCTCCTAAGTGCTGAGATTAAAGGTGTGCACCACCACCACCAGGCTCATGACTGTAAATGTATTGCTTTTCTTTCCCAACTTTGGGATACAGGATCTTACTATACAGCCCAGGCTGGCCTTGAACTCACAATCCTCTTGCCTTGTTCTCCTAAGTGGTGGGACTACAAGCATGCATCAGTAGAAACTGCGATATATCTGCATCCCTCCCAAAGACAAGAAGATCCTTGAAGGCAGAGGCCACACTTTTTAGCAGTCTGACATGCAGCAGGAGCTAACAGTCATAATAGAAGTCAAGGCTGATGGCTCACACTTATAGTCCCAGGAGGCTGAGGCAAGGAGGCTCCATCAAACCTACAGCCACCTAGACCCCATCTCAAAATAAAATAAAAAGTTTAATAGAAACCTAACATTCAGGACTTAGGGAGATATTGAGTTTCGGGCCAGCCCTAGATTATACAATAAGACCCTGCCTCAAAAAAGATTAATTAATATAAAAAAGGCCTGAACAAATGAAGGGCTAATCAACTGGTTCCATCCACCAAGTAGGAACCCAGGGACCATACTAACTTGATTAGGGCCAGCACAGTCTCTATTGATCTTGGTTGTGGTGATGCCTGCTGGTATAAGAACCTGCTTAGTGTGCCATTCAGAAAGCTGAGATCCCAAGAAAGGACTCACCGCCTCATGGGACTTGGGGATGGGTACGATGATGGCCAAGACACAGATGAGCTGGAAGATGGCTCCTAGGAAGAGCCCATACCGCAGCAGGTTCTCCAGGAAGGTGGGCTCAGGCACCTCAGGAGGTGAGAAGTCTAGGTCGGAGGCCATGGCCTCAGTCACCACTGCCAGAGGCCTCTTGAGAGTCACCCTTCTCCAGAACCAAGTTCTAAATAAAAAGAATAAAAGTCAGCATCTTAAGGTTTCTATTGCTGTGATGAGACATCATGACCACAGCAACTCTTATAACAGAAAACATTTAATTGGGGCTGGCTTACAGTTCAGAGGTTTAGTTCATTGTTGTCATAGTGGGAAATAAGGTAGCATGCTGGCAGACATGGTGCTGGAGGAGTTAAGAGTTCTTATAACTGGACCCACAGGCAACAGGAGGTGGTCTGAGACATTGGGCGCTACCTTGAGCATATATGTGACCTCAAATCCCACCTCCACAGTGACACACTTCCTCCAACAGGCCACAGGCACTCCAATAAAGCCATACACCCTAATAGTGCCACTCCCTTTGGGGGCCATTTTCTTTCAAACCATCACATCAGATTTCTTTCTCTTTTTTTCCTTTTACTTCTGTTTCTTTGGGGGGGGGGGTGAGGTAGGGTTTCTCTGTGAAAAACCTTCTGTGAAACTCAGTTTGTAATAGACCAGCCTGGCCTCAAAATCACAGAGATCTATATGCCTCTGCCCCCTGAGTGCTGGCATTAAAGACGTGTGCCACGGGCTGAATTTCAGGTTTCTATGTGTGATCTTTAAATGCCCCCACCCACACACCACACATGGACACAGGAACACACACAAAGCATGAAGCAACTTCAGCAAAGTGTAAACAATTCTTTAATTAGAGGGCATTTGCACAGGAAACAAACCTTTCAACTTTTTACATTTTTAATGTTACCAAATATAAAGCTAATAAAATTAATAAACAAATGCAAAAATCCTCAAGCAATGCTTTTACTAAAGACCCATACATTTCTGTGTTTTGTTTTGTTTGGCTTTTGAGATAGTGTCTCGATCATCTTGGGCTGGCCTGGAGTTGTTATTAATCCAGGATGAGCATGAACTTCTGATTCTCCTGCCTCCACCTACAGGCTTTCATCCTTATGCCCAGTTTACATAGTGCTGGGGCTGGAATCCAGGACCCCATGAATACTGATCAAGCACTGAACCGACTGAGATACACAGATCTAATTTTGTTTATTTATTCATTCACCTAGTCAAAAAGCGCTTAGGGATACTAAAGGCTGAAGAAAGAAATACAGGGAAATGCCTGATTTCAGAGTTCTGCTCCAAACGGAGGCAGACAGTGAACCATGGAAACCTGCTGTACACACAGAGAAAACTGTTTTGGAGACATTTACGAAAGGGCACCCACCATTTGATCTTGTATGGGGTGGGCGGGAAGGCCTGTGTGAATGTGGCAGGTCTTCAGTAAACAGAGATGAGAAAATGGGGCAGAGTGGAGAGGCTCACACTTGTAATGCAAGGGAAACATGCTGTGAATAGAAAGTAAATGTGGAGACCCCTGGGTGGGAAAGGAACCCACATGGCCAGGAAGGCGTGGTCAGGAGGGAGACTGGAAGCTGGTGAGAGGGGATGGGAGCAGGAACAAACCTCAGCAGACTCAGACCTTTATGATTGCACCAAGTAAAACGTAAAGCAGAGGTGACAAGATCTAAATTACTTTTGTTGCTGGCTGATCTGGGACTCATTATCTAGATCAGGCTGGCCTCATACTCACGGAGATCTGCTTTCCTCTGCATCCCAAGTGCTGGGATTAAAGGGTGCACCATCACCCCGCCGCCTTGTTGCTGTTATTCTGAGAGAGGATTTTCCTATGGAATACAGTCAGCTCAAACTCACAGAAACCTTCCTGCCTCAGTCTCCCACATGCTGGAGCAGAGGTGTGCATTACCATGCCCATCTCTAAACTACAACTTTGAATGGAGAGACAAAGAAAGAACATGAAAACCTAGCCCACTCGAGAAAGCCGGTGGACTGGCAACCGGCGGCCGGTCAGGCCTCTGCCCACCCCTCCTCTCACCAGCCCTATCTCTTTTTCTTCTTTTCTTCCTTTCTTTTCTCTTTCTTTCTTTTTTGTTTGGTTTTGGTTTTGTTTTTTTTTTGAGACAGGGCTGTGGCTGTCCTGGCTGGCCTCAAACTCAGAGATCTGCCCCCCTCTGTGAGTGCTGGGACTAAAGGCATACACCACCACGTCTTGGTAAAGCTGGAAGAACTGCCTGTGGTTCCCCAAAAGCACCTGAGTCTTTCAAACCCTGAGTCCACCTGAATGATAGCCTTTGTGTTTTCAGAGAGAGATCTGTGCCACACCGTGCAATTTCTAGCTGACTCTGAGCTACCCAATACAGTGCTCGTGGGTCACAGGGAGCCCCAAAATGCAGCAGCTCTGAACTGAAGTGACTGTTAAATTAGGTCAGACCTAACTTCCTGACTTATTATGAAAGAATGTAAAATATCTCATTAGTAATGTTTCATGTTGATTATATGCAGAAATGGCATATTGTTAAGTTACTAAAATTAAGTTAATGAAAAAGTTGAAGAATTTATTTTATGATATCAAACTTATTAGAAAGCCAAGATAGTCAAAACAGAGAGTTCCTGACATGAGAACAGACATACAGACCACTGGAGCAGAGAGCTCCAAATAAACCTCGCCATATAGGAGATGATGGCTTTTAGACAAACGGTGCTAGGAAATGGAAAGCGTGCGTCCGTGCACAAACTCAGACAAAAGGCGGCAGACAGCCCCCTTGCACCCCATATAAAGACTAGTTCAAACTGACCCATGACCTCATAAGAGTCCAAACTATAAAACTGTTAGGAGAAGTCTTAGGGGAAATCTCTACGATACTGGACTTGGCAATGGTTTCCTGGATGTGACATCAAAAGGCACAAGCAACAAAAGAAAGAACTCAGTTACACTCCACATAAAAATCAAAACCTTTTGTTTAGAGGACATTGCTCAGAGAGTGAAAGAAAGAGAGCCCAGAGAATGGAGGAAGCCATTTGTGACTCACACATACAGTAAAAGTCCAGCAATCAGACAGACAAAGAACTTCCACAAGGCAACAATAAAACATAAGCCACAAAGCATGCCTGAGAGAGGGCTCAGCTGGCTACGGCACTTGCCACCAAACCTGACAACCTGCATTTGAAGAACAGACTCCCAAAAGTTGTCTTTTGACCACCACATATGTGCTGTAGCAAGTGAGCCTCTGTCCCTTAAAACTAAGTGTAGAAGCCAGTCAGTTGAAGTCTGTAACCCAGTACTCAGCTGGAAGATGAATTCTAGGCCAGCCTGTGCTACAAAAACAGCAAGTTCAAGGTCAGCGTGAGACACATGAGCTCAATCTCAAAAACAGGAGGGTGGGGTTGGTGGGGCGGCTCAGCAGGTACAGACACCTGAGCTTGATCTAGGGTTGACATGGGAGCCCAGAGTCAGCCCTCACAAACTCTCTCTCTCTCTCTCTCTCTCTCTCTCTCTCTCTCTCTCTCTCTCTCTCTCTCTCACGCACACACAAAGAGAGAGAGAGAAGGGGAGGCCGGAATGTGAAAATATAAAACAAGTATAAAAAGGGCGGTTGGGCACTGAGCATCAGTAAAAATGTAGAGAAACTAGAAGCTGTGTGCACTATCTTAGTTACTGTTCTATTGCTGCAACAAGACACCATGACTACAGCGATCCCTATCAAAGAAAGCATTTAACTGGGGGGCTTGCTTACATTTTTAGAGGGGCTAGTCCATGACTGTATTGGCATTAAGCAGACTGGCATGGCCCTGGAGCAGCAGCTGAGGCTTTGCGGTCTGATCCTTATCCACCAGCAGCAGGCAGACACTGGGTCTAGGGTGGGCTTTGGAACCCTCAAAGCCTACCTTACAATGATGCACCTTCTCCAAGGCCACACCTCCTCCAATCCTTCCCAAACAGTTTCCCAGCTGGGGACCACACTTCCAAACATAGGAGCCCTATAGGGGCCGTTCTCACTCAAACCAGCGCAGCTGCCAATGGGAGCCTAAGCCAGCACAGCAGCTATGGAGATCAGTTTCTGTATAGGCTGCAGTTTTTGTCTAAGAGGGTAAAGAAGTTCCAGAAGTAGCAGTAACAGTGGCACAACATGGCCACTGACCTGAATTTATGCTTAGAGAAAGTAAAATCTGAGCTACATTTAGAGGCATACATTTCCAGGACTTTGGAGGTGGATGCAGGAGAATCACAAGTTCAAAGTCAGCCTGGGCTACATGAGACCATCTCGAAAAAGAGATGGTCTGTTATAACATAAACAAAATCTCACCTGCTTTACTTTTTTTCTGGTTATTTACTTACTTCATTTTACTTTTTTTGGACAGATGTTTTCACGTAGCCTCGGCTGGCCTTGAACTCCTGATTTAAATGCAACCAACTGAACAAACACTGTATGGTTCTATAGATTAACCCTACCAACACAGCCTGTCCATGTGACTTTCTTCCATCTTGGCCCTGTTGTTTCTCTACTTGAAACATGAAAAACAACTGAAGGATTATGAAATGGCCCACTATGTAAACAGAGTGGGTCTTACACAAATGATTATTGTTTCCCTTTCAACCTGGTCACTCTGGAAGGTCATGTGGTTGGCCAGCAAAATAGCCAATTCTCACATCAGTTCAGCCTATTCTAGAAGCTTTTCCAGGCCTGAATCACCCCCTCACTCATTGTCCCTGCCCCCATCCTCAGAGCTGTCAGATCTTCCTCTTCCCAAGAAGGATCTGACCTCTGGAGAGGGCCCAGTGTTGTCTGGTTCCAATTACGGTGAATCAGGTGGGGCACGGTGCTCAAGTATACCATCTTTGGTCATATACAAGGTGCAAGGCTCAGATTGCAGGCAGACTGCTTGGAGCAGCTCCTAAACTGGCCCTGAAGTGAATTCCAAGGCAGCCCAGCACCGCTCCTGGAGGAACTGACAGGCTCTCCAGAGCACTGGTCCCAGTGCCAAGGCTGAAGAAAGCTGGGCTCCAGTGGTACCTCCTACACTTAGTGCCCTTGACCATGCTTCGTGCTCAGGGCTGTGCAAAGCCTACGGAGTGTCTGATACTCAGACTTACCATTACTGTGAGGATTAGGGTACTGTGACACCGTGATTGACAGGGCTAGGCGGCAGGAA